TTATTATTTGTTTCTTTATTATTTGTTTCTTTATTATTTGTTTCTTTATTATTTGTTTCTTTATTATTGAATTATTATTATTGAATCATTGTTATCGAATCATTATTATTGAATCATTATTGTTGTGTTGAATTATTAAATGACTACTATTAAATTACTATTGTTGAATTACTATTATTGAATTATTACTGGGTTTTATTGTGAAGTGTTCATTTATTTGGCAAATGCAATAATTTTTTTTTTATTTAAATTTTTTCCGAAAATGGATCAAATAACGCGCAAACGTTTTGTTTCATTTTTCAATAATGCATGTAAAATGTACTGCGTGTGTAATGCACTTCCATTTAATGCATTGCATTTTGCATGTAATCTGAAGTGCATTATCCTTCACAGAACATTCTTACATTAACCATTCATTATTAATTGATCGTCTCACGAATTACGGAAATTTGCTAATTTGCAGTTACGGAATGCACCAAAAGCTGAAGAAATAACAAATGGAACATGCTTTGATCCGGAAAGAAACAGTTATTATACGTAATCAATTCATATGATTTTAAGCAACTTATCACAGTCATTCTTACAAAAAAACGTAATTTACGTCAAATGTGAAATTAATCGTCAGAATTTTTCGTGTAACTTTGTGTTTATTGATAATTCAGATTATCTATTAGTCCAGAACGACCCATAAAACAATCTTTTCTTTACTTCCAACTCCAGTATGATGTTTCAAATTGAATTTTATACAATCTTAATTATTTCTTTAAAAAAATGGGCATTGTGTAGCGACATTTCGAAAGTAAAAAAAGTTTGAAATGAAACATGCCTATTGATCTACAAATCCATAGCTTGTCACTCCAAATCATTTAGTTGTGGGCATAATTTAAGCTTAAGGTACAATTAGTAAACTGAAATTAGAAAAAAGACACCCTATTTCTTATTTTTGAAATTTGAAAAAGTAATTAACTTTTAGTCCCAAATTCGGCTTTTGCGTATATGGAATTAATTACGAAGTAAACGATGACGCTGTTACTTTTGACGAAAAGTTATATTTTAATTACGATCAATTATTTAATGATGGCGATATGACGGTGGATGAATTTGAAACAGCAGCAAAGCCTTTATGTGACAAAATTCCATATGATGATATCACTAAATATGTGACATATTACTACGGTGCTTGGGTTAAGGTAAGTTTTTTTTTAGTTGAGACTTATACTTCCACTTACAGAACAAATAATAAATTAAACAAAATAGGCAAAAAGGTTAAATATTGTTTATAGTGTGTAAGTTGTAAATGACAAACATTGAGCTTTGATCGGGATTTTAGAAATTTTGGTTACAAAAATAGCATATTTGACTTTATGACTAAAACCAATTAGTAAATTTTATATTGCAAATTATGGTTCCTTTCAATCTTTTTAGAAATGAAGAAAATAGCGCATTTTGTTGCAGACGAAAAACAATACTTACAAAGATATGTTTATTGGTTGCTGTAAGTTATGCCAGATGTTAAGTAGTATCAATTGGCTTATCACATTGAAAATTCAAATGATGGCTCTATCGAAATTTGCTCTTATACGAAAAGATGTGTTGCTGTATCAAAAAAAAATGATTTCTTTTTTTGATACGAATTATTTAACGGCTGAATATAACAGAATTCCGCCATGTGAATCGTCAAACTATGATCTCGTAAGTGCAAAACGTATAATTTCACGTCAGTTATACTTTTCATTTGTTGCTAATTATTTCAATTAATGAGAAAGAAATGGATGAAGTTGAAGTTCACTGTTAAAATGAATTATTGGAGTGAGCAAGATATTGAATCGGATGGCTAAGTGATTTTGGGAGATATTTATTGATGGTACCTGCGATTGTTTTAATAACTTCATTTATCTCAAAATTTCTGATCTAATCGGAAAAATACCTCAAAAAATAAAGTAATGTTACTTTATAAAGGAAGAATGGAATAATTTGAATTATAGGTGATTAACCATAAAATTTGTTGCTGGGATTTGAAATGAATCTAATAAAAATTGGATTTAAAAACCTGAAATTGTATTCAGAATTCAATCAATGCGATTAGAAGTGCTTAGAAGAGCTTATCCTTTTTTGCATTTGAGAGTTCATCTTTCTTCCTCAAATGTATCACTTTAGATTCCTGTATTACTTGGAAATCCTATTGGTTTTGCGAGTGGTTTCGATAGATTAAGTTGGGAAAGTTTACTATTGCGTTCCATTGCACCACACCGAGAACCTGTCACGTATATAGGTCGATACACGTCCGCTATTGCTAACGAGTACAAACAGAATCATTGTCTAAATTCATATGCATTAAAAGTTAGTCTGTCCTTTTCTAGCAGAAATATGCTATACGTTTAATATGCGTTCACGTACTTACGTTTCAGCCTTATAGCGTATGTCTTGTATATTTGTTATTGACCAAAGAGTACGGCTATGAATGCTGCTGCTACGGTGACGAAATTCCACAATGTCAAGGTTATTGGGTTGTTTAAAATTGGCTACTTTTTGGTAATTATAGATGTATATTTGCACTACCGTAAGTAATAAAAAAGTAGTTCAAGAAAGAATTTTGCTACGAGCTTACTGTAATTTGACGTAATTATCGCGTGATACGTGCATAATGCTTTAGGAATTATTTCAACCGTAGCTTGGAATGTTTTTTAATGCAAACTTTATTGCAGAACGGATAAGGAATGCAATAATAATAGGTCCAAGCGTAGGTGTATTTCGTAGAAGGAAAACACCTTGTGTCATTGATGAGGACAGTCTTGACCATAATTCAAAGGTCACTTTTAGCGTTGAAAGGATAGAGTTCAAAGGCGATGTGTACAATTTAATGAATCATATGGAACGAAATGTAATTAAATTAAAATTGCTATGCATATTTTTAGTGTGTAGAAACAAATAGAGCAGTGAATGCATATTGAAATTTTATTAAATTCATTATGAATTTGTTACTTTCAGAAGTAATTATTTTTCCTATCACATATTTTTCAATGCTATGCAAGCTGTAGTTTGTTTCCAGTTTTGTGAACTTCACTTGAAATTTAATGGCACCGAACAAATAAATGTTTCGTTCAATAGTAATTTTACTAAGCAACGACTTTCATTATTATATCAGCAAGCATCAAAGATTACTGAACGGATAACAATTTCGCTTGTAAACAAATCATATCGAGAGCAACAATCAACGGTATAATTTGAAAATAATAAAGCATTTGAAAGATATCACGATTTTTGACGTATTAAATTAATGAGCACTTTAGTAAAGTTTAATAGTAAATGAATGAAGGCATTAAGCTGCTTACAGCAATCAGAATATTTCATTCACATAGTTAGTCATTTTAAATTAATAAAGATATAGTATTTATTCATTTAATTTAAATTTTAACGAGGAAGAAAAATATATTCATTTTGTCACTCATTTTAAATCAACTAATACTGCTGAATTACTTTTCTTTTGTCTAATCTCTATAAGTTAAAGAATATCGCTCTGATTGAATTCTTTTTTTTTTACTTTTATATTAACAAATTATTTCACTCCTAAAATTTCAGTCATATTTTATTTTAATTTCAGTCTAATCAGTCCATTTTTTGGAGCATAAATAATATGAAAGATTATGATAGCGAAAGAGCGAAAGATTATTATAAAAAATTAATTGAACAAAGCATAAATATTACCAACTCATTCCAATGTGTCAATTTGAGTAATTGGGATGCTCGAGCGCATGATATCTTGCAGTTTAATTGCGCACAACTTTTGCGTTCGTCATTTTTTCCACCCAATTTTGTTTCCGTTTTTTTTTTCAAAGATTATGAGAGTAAAGTAATTAAACCATTTGATTCATACATTTGCACCTATTCATACTTTAAAACAAATTGTCCAATGAAAGAACCATTATTATTGTTAATCAGTTAAAATTTTTGAACACTTTTTTTAGTCATCTCTTTTTGTTGTTTTAATTTTTTGAAATTTCGTAAAATTTCTTAATCGTCAATCTTTTTAGCGATAGATGCGCAATGTCCTTTCAGTAGTTCCAGAAATTTGGAGCATCAGCATATCATGTGTTGCTGTGGTCATCGGTCATTTTGCAACTACAATGTTCGTTAGATCTTTAAAAATTTCATATCCCTATTTTTTTCAAAAAATTTTTTTGCACTTATTAACAAGAAATCAAATCAGAAATAAAAATTTTTCACTCAATATTACTGAAAAATTTGTTGATAAAATATCAATAGTATTTACAGTGAAGTCAACAAAAGCATCACTTTTTAACTTTTTTTTTAAAATTTAACCTTGTTTCATTCTAAACCTTTCCAAATAATGCTTAATGATAAAAATTTGATAAATTTGATAACTCCAATAATTATTATTATTTCCCTCTTGTTTATGTTGCAAAATGGAATACACCTTATAATTACTTTATTCTTTTTAGGCTGATATGATAAAACGCGCATCTGCAAAATCATTTCCTGATTTATGCGAATACAATAACGAATATCAGTACTTTCTACATGATTATTTTTATCCCACCAAACTGGACGCCAATCATTCATGCTTATTGCATTTCGTTTCCGGAAATGCCCTTAATGATATGAGCCAGCTTTTCTCAAAAGAAAATTCTATCATCTTTTTTTTACCCGGTATTTCATTATAACGTTTATCATTTTTAAATTTATCTATTTTTTAATTTAATCATCAATATCACTCCGATATTAGCATATCACATTTTTGTTTGTTTAGGCTCTGCTATACAACCAATTGATTTTTCATACGCATTATTAAAACCGAACGAATGTGACTATCTCGATGTTGATGTCAGTTGAATAGTTATTTCTATCTTGAAGTAAAATTATAGGTAGCGTATGATGTCTAAAGCTCAAACGATATCATTCATCTTTTTGCAATTCAAATTCATTTCTCAACCAAAGGGACTTTTTTTTTGAAAACAAAAATTTACAATTAAGGTATTGGAATGGGGAAAACTAACAGCTTAAAATTGTTCATATTAATAAGTGAATTTGCAGTTGAAGCATGATTATCTTCGGACTCGTTATTGCTATGAATCAACCAAATTATTGAAGTATTTCGAAACGGAATTCATGCCGATGAGATTATTCGCATGTCGATGTGAAACAACTCCCGGAGAGGCACGCTGCGATAGCATTCTGAAGCAGAACATTGCTGAAAAGGCCAAAAATTCTGTAAAACATTTTTTCCTTCTTCTTTATGATAGAAAAAATAGGCCAATTTCTTTGATAAAATAAAATCTGATATTGTTTAAAATGAAACAAATGAATATTGATTTCTGTTAGCGGATTACTTCCTCTCAACTATTCCATTCCTTCCATGCAAATTGACGATGCAAGCATTTGCATGTTATGCTAACATGCATATGTATGCGCAATCATCTCATAGTTTATGTAGCACGAAATGATAATTTGCATCTAAAATTTCCCGAGAATGATTTCAAATGAGAACCAAACTGATTCAGGGTTTGATGGCTAGATAAATTCTTTTGATTAGCTTATAGATTGAATGATTTAATTTTATTCAACATATGCATATCTTCGTTCGCTGTACATTAAATTTCTATTAAAATATTTATTTCTGCTAGGATTAATGGTTCACAAGCGATTTTATTAAATCTTACCGGTTTAAATTTACAAAATTTTATTTCAGAAGCGAAAGTATTATTGTGCAGTATACAGTGACCAGCATTCAGTGAAATTCAATTATAAGCCAAAATTTAAAGTAAACGATTTGTCACCATATTGTGCAACAATGTTGGATTTCAGAACAATTGGCGATAGCTAGTTTTCGTTCTTTTCTTAAACTTTTTAATGCATCTATTTTCAATAATGAATATAATTTCTGTAATTTTATTTTATTGCCTTGAAGCTAACTTCAAGTTTCTTTTTCCTTTCAAAGTTTTCCGGAATTATTGAAACTTTGTGAGAATTTGAAATTAATTCGCAGATGATATCAAAGCATGATATACTTTTTTGAGACTAGTAAATTTTGCAAAAAAAAAAAACAAATGACAGTTTGGATAATAGAGAAAAAGAGAGATGAGAATGAATTTTTCTTCTGATCACTTCAAAACTAACATAAAACCATAGAAGATTTACTTTTA